TACTGTGCGCACTGTACGATGCTTTTCAAATGATACACGTATATTCAACAAGACCGACGGGGTTTCTTGTATTTTCCCTCGACGTCCATAATGGAATTAGAGGAAAAACGTACACGAGATCCAAAAAATAAAGTGATAGGCGATTAAGCATACGCTGTAGTATGATTAAGTTTGCAAAGTTAATATTTTGCCCTTTCCTGTGAAACACCTTGCTATCCACACATTCACAATTGGTATCTGAAATCACAATACATCTTTACGGCTATTTCTTCAAAAAATATTTCCATCATCCAACATCTTTTTTTCTGCATAAACAATGGTGACTCTAATGGCAGACATACTTGCGGTGTGCTTTGCTATACTGTGTGTATATATAAATATTTATAAAATACGATAAAAAAGTATTTTATGAAATGCATGAACTTCATTTGCTTTCAGTTGTCTTTTTTTTTTGCTAATCTAATGCCAAAAATACATGACACATATATCAATATCAACTTTCTAACCTACTATAGGAGTGACATGCAGTGTAGGAAGGTATTTGAAGCCGCTCACTATGAGGCTACGCAATACAATATTGCTAATGAAATTTTGATGTATTTATACCTTGTATAAGTTATCGAAACTTTTGTCTGTTTCATTCATTCTGTTCTGTTTTAATTACGTGGCGTTAATGGTTGCTGCTACTCTATATAGTCTTCATTTGATTTCTGCGTCTCAACATTCTTTTTTATTTATAGGATAAAAATAAGATATAAAGGAAAAATAAAAGTTGTCATTTTCAAGGCCAGAAAAAAAGACTGGTTCTTGATCAGACGGTGAAGATCTTATGAGAAATTCACATTGTTTTGAAACGGTATTATGATATCTGTTGTGGCTGCTTTGCACTCTATTATCGACTGCATCTGAAAGCATCAGAAAAATATATAGAAATTATGCTCTGCAAATATACGAAACTAGAGTACATACTATATGTGAAATATAAGCCTCACAATGTCCGACAAAAATAACTAAAATAGCATTTGACTAAATGTTGGAAATATATAGACATTTTTTTTCGTAAAAAAATTATTCCAAAAATGTAATGTCGTAAATATACTATGGTAAACTAAAATTCTGATTAATTAGTGACTCGTTCTTCTATATAGGAGGATATGTAATGTTGCCCTTCACATTTTGCAACGACAGAAAATGACTTCTGTTCGAGCGGGTATGCCATAATCTCTTCTATAATTTTCCGCTTCTTTTTACTCCATGGTAAACTCCACTAACAGCCCTTTGTTGCACCAGTAAATGAAACATGTGTGGAAAGCAAAGTATCTCTTTAACCTCAACTCCAGAAAAGGGAAGAAAGGCACTAGAATCTATCCACTGAGGACCTGCGTGGATAGCACAGTTCTCCGGCATGGTTTGGCATGTGAAAAGAAGCACTGGGAGAGATAATATTTGAACGAGATGTAGTGACCTTAATATCAAGCTCTTATACTTGCGCAATGAAAGGCTTTTATGTAATCAAGGGAACAAGCGAAAGTATTAAAAGGATATGTCTGGGGGTAGTACAGCCAAAGATCTGTGTGCTTTAGATTTTACGAATGGCGCAAAGGCAAAAAATATTGTATATAATTGTGATTTAGGTACAAGTAAAAACGTTATGTCGAAACCCACAAGTATGTCAAGACAGTTATTTATGGCCTAAGCGGTTACTTAATACCTTTATCGGCGGCCCTTCTGGCATAACCCCAGCTTGCGAGGGTAAAGACAGATCTAACAGGCTGGTCTGGGGAAGTGTCATATTGGTAACTTGGACACTCCGGTTGTTGATGATTTCGAAGATTCTATTTATCTTAGAAATCGGTCCAGTATGGTTAGTTGAGACTTGTGTCTTGTATTTTACCTTCAGTTTTTATTTTAATCTTGTTTAAGCCAAGTCAAGAGCTGAAACAGACTCAAAGAAGGTTACCTAAATTAGGAAGATTATTTTTTTTCGTATCTTCGAATAAGGTTAGATGATTTTTTTTTTCGTTGCGGAGAAGCTTTTCATCTGTTGGCTAATATGGAAAGTTCGGTATAAAAAATTAATCTAATTATGGTGGTATGAATATTGACAGTAATGATCACAACAATGGAAAACACGCAGTGAACTTTGTCAAAGAGTAATGGGTGTAGACCACGTAAAATACAGATACAGATCCCGATGATTCCTGAAACGAAAACGAACACAAAGCGCGCAGAATCTCCTTCGGCTTCACGCGAATATCATCATGCAAGGAACTGTCGTGTTGAAGATTCGTCGAGTCTTTGGGGGCTTTGGGGGGGGGGGGCTAGTGGACCTGGAGAAATCACACCCAGTCGTACGAAACTTCTTCCGGAAGAAAAGGTTTTAGTCTCCTCTCTCGCTGGTCCGCGCTCGCCCCCAGCCGCTTGGCGTCCCTCGCTCTTTCTACCTCAGCTCCCGCAGGAGGAGAGCCACCAGCACGAAGAGGAAGGCGCTGACGGAGGC